TCTTCCCACAAATGTATATGGTCCTTTACCCTCCGGATCAATGGGGTTGATTTTGGGAAGGAGCAGTACCATTCTTAAGGGAATACAAGTACATCCTGGTGTAATTGATTCTGATTATGAAGGAAAAAAGGTAAAAAATGTTATAGCATTGCTTACTTGTCTTTAGAAAAAAATTCTCGTTAAATGCTATGGCATGTGTGCTACCCCCTTTCTTTTCGTGTTGTGGAATTCTACTAATGAGGATATGGGGAGTTCTCTTAATTGCTCTTCTAGAAATTGTACAGTGAGCAACTGCTGGGACCAATACAGTGATTCTGCACTGATTGTCCAGATACCTGCAATGATTCCTTTGCCAGTACAAGAAGATCGGGCCATGCTCCGCCAATGGAGGAATGGTGGGGGAGGCCACCAGACTATGAAAATCTTAGAGTCATGGATCAGAGTCCAATTTGGATCAAAGTTAGTGGCACCAGTAATAGAAGTCCCATGGCACCAGCAATAGAAGTCCCCGATCCTAATCAACAAGGTCAAGTACAGTGTCAGCACTTCCCATTACAATTTAAAGATTTAAAAGCCCTTAAGGAAGCCGTATCAGCTTATGGGGGTCCAGGCTTTCCCACAAATGTATACGGTCCTTTACCCTCCTGATCGATGGGGTTGATTTTGGGAAGGAGCAGTACCATTCTTAAGGAAATACAAGTACATCCTGGTGTAATTGATTCTGATTATGAAGGAAAAAAGGTAAAAAATGTTATAGCATTGCTTACTTGTCTTTAGAAAAAAATTCTCGTTAAATGCTATGGCATGTGTGCTACCCCCTTTCTTTTCGTGTTGTGGAATTCTACTAATGAGGATATGGGGAGTTCTCTTAATTGCTCTTCTAGAAATTGTACAGTGAGCAACTGCTGGGACCAATACAGTGATTCTGCACTGATTGTCCAGATACCTGCAATGATTCCTTTGCCAGTACAAGAAGATCGGGCCAGATCAAAATTGATACTATACCGGGAGAAGCGTGACTTTGAAATCACCGCGGCAGTCGTAACCAACATAACAGTCTCCTCCACTGCCGCCGCAGTCACCAGAATTGCATTTTCTCAAACGGCAGCAATAGCTGAGACAGTGGACGAGCTATCGGAACATGTCAGCGAACACATCCAATTTGAACTACTTAATATAAATCATCAGACTGCATTATTGCAGGAGCAAGTGGATGCCTTATGGCTAATACAACAAATGACTTGCTGACATTTTTTCCATTCTATCTGTGTAACCACGGGTACAGTTAGAAATGCTTCAGCTATGGTGCAACAGTTAAATAAGTATATGACTGGTACTTGAAATTTAACTTTCCTTAACTTCACATGCTATTTGCTCAACAAATTGTTCATATTAATCAGACTCGGGTACCCCCTGTATCTGCTGAAGGGTGGTGGAATACTATGGCTCAATTGGGGGGTTGGATCCAGCGGTGGGTGGGGTCATTGTCGCTGACCGTTCTTGGGTTTAGTGCCATAGTCGTTGGGCTCTGGGTCCTTTGCCTACAGATGAGATCTACGAGGTCTCAACAGATGGGCACTCAACAAGTCCTGTTAAGCTTGTCATCTGGTAATCCAGATGTACCTCAAGTCTGGCTGCAAATGCTGTACAAATGCTGAAGATGCCTCCATAGACGGGCGACTTCCACGGAGAGGGTGCCCGCCTAAGACAGGGATGAGGCCTCCCAATGACGGGTAAGGGATGACCCCTCCAGGACAACCTAAGACAGGGGCTCTTCCGTTATATAAAGGAAAGGGGTGACTGAGTAAAACTCCATAATGTAAATGAACCACATTTTCATTATCCACTCATCTATTGAGGGACACTTAGGTTGCTTCCATCTCTTAGCTATTGTGAAAAGAGCAGCAACAAATATGGATGTACAAGTGTCTCTGCAATAGGATGAGTTCTTTGGGTATATGCCAAGGAGTGGTATAACTGGGTCAAATGGTAGGTTCATTTTTAGTTTTTTAAGAGTTCTCCACACTGCTTTCCATAGGGGTTGAACCAGTTTGCAGCCCCACAGCAGTGGATGAGTGTTCCCCTTTCCCCACATCCCCTCCAACATTTGGCATCATTTGTTTTCTTGATCTTAGCCAGTCTGACTGGTGTAAGATAGAACCTTAAAGTGGTTTTAATTTGCATTTCCCTAATTATTAGGGATGTTGAACATCTTTTAAGATGTTTCATAGCCATCTTTACTTCTTCTTTTGAGAACTCTCTGTTCAGCTCCTTAGCCCATCTTTTAATTGGGTTACTTCTAGTCTTGGTTCTCTGTTTTTTGAATTCATTATAAATTCTGGCTATTAAACCTCTGTCAGATGTGTCTCTGGTGTAGATTTTCTCCCATTCTGTGGGTTTTCTTTTTGCTTCCTTGGTTGTCTTCTTTGATGTACAGAAGCTTTTTAGTTTAATGAGGTCCCACTTGTTAATTCTTGCCCTTGTTTCCTGGGCAATTGATGTCCGGTTTAGAAAATCCTTTCCTATGCCTATGTCTTATAGGTTATTCCCACTTTTTTCTTCTAATACTTTCAGAGTTTCAGGCTTTACATTGAGGTCTTTGAGGCATTTGGAATTGACTTTTGTGCAGGCTGAAAGATAGGTGTTTAGTTTCATTATTCTGCAGGTGGAGATCCAGTTTTGCCAGCACCATTTGCTGAACATGCTGTCTTTCCTCCAGTTAATGTTCTTGGCCCCTTTGTTAAATATCAGGTGGCTGAAATTGCATTTACTCATATTTGGGTCTTCAATTTTGTTCCATTGGTCTATGGCTCTATTTTTATGCCAGTACCATGTTGTTTTTATAACCATAGCTATGTAATACAGCTTGAAATCTGGTATAGTAAACCCCCTGGCTATCGGAGGTTTTTTGTGCTGTCATATGGATCTTAGGATAGTTTTTTTCCAATTCTGTGAAAAAGGTCATGGAGATTTTGATTGACATTGCATTGAATCTATACATGACTTTTGGTAGGATGGTCATTTTCACAATATTAATTCTTCCAATCCATGAGCATGGGAGGTCCTTCCATCTTCTG